CAGCCTCCTGAGTTGCTGGGACTACAGGCACACACCACCACATCCAGCTAATTTTTGTATTTTTAGTAGAGATGGGGTTTTGCCATTTTGGCCAGGCTGGTCTCAAACCCTGCTCACCTCAGGTGATCCACCTGCCTCTGCCTCCCAAAATGCTGGGATTACAGGTGTGAGCCACTGCACCCAGCCAAAATTCAGAACTTCTGTTCTCCTAAAGACTGGTAAGAGAGTGAAAAGACAAGCCACAGACTGCAAGAAAATATTTCCAAATTATATATCTTGCAGGATTTTTAACTAGAATATAAAGAACTCTTTTTTTTCAATGACATCACAAACAACTCAGTAAACCAGCAAAGATTCTAAGACACTTCACTGTGAAAGCTGTACAGATAAAAGTTAGTAGAGAAATTAGTCAGTAGAGACTGACTAGTCTCTAGAGTCAGTAGAGAAATAGCAAATTAAAGCCACAATGAGACACCCCTACAGAAGTTATTAGAATGACTAAAATAAATTAATTGAATTACTGATTTTTATTGCTATTATTTTTTTTTCTTTTTTTGAGTCTTACTCTGTCGCCCAGGCTGGAGTGCAGTGGCACGATCTCAGCTCACTGCAACCTCCACTTTCTGGGATCAAGCAATTCTCCTGCCTCAGGTTCCCAAGTAGCTAGGATTTTTTTCACCCACCACCATGCCTGGCTATTTTTTTTGCGTGTTTTTAGTAGAGATCAGGTTTCACCATGTTGGTCAGGCTGGTCTCGAGCTCCTGACCTTGTGATCTGTGGAGTCTCACTCTGTTGCCCAGGCTGGAGTGCAGTGGCACGATCCCAGCTCACTGCAACCTCCGCCTCCTTTTTTTTAGCAATTCTCCTGCCTCAGCCTCCCGAGTAGCTGAGACTAAAGGCACTCGCCCTTTTTTTCAGCTAATTTTTGTATTAGTAGAGACGGGGTTTCACCATGTTGGTCAGGCTGGTTTTTTTCTCCTGACCTCAAGTGATCTGCCTGCCTCGGCCTCCCAAAGTGCTGGGATTACTTTTTTTAGCCACCGCGCCTGGCTAATTTTTGTATTTTTAGTAGAGATGGGGTTTCATCATTTTTTTGCTGGTCTCAAACTCCTGACCTCAGGTGATCTGCCCGCCTTGGCCTCCCAAAGTGCCGAGATTACAGGCGTGAGCCACTGCGCCCAGTGAATTGTTTTTCTAAGCCGTGCCAAACCGAGTACCAGAGGAGATGAGCAAGTGCAGGTCTCACACCCCGCTGGTGGGAATGCAGGTGGTGCAGCCGCCTCGGCAAATCATCTGGCGGTTTCTCATGAAGTAAACGTGTCCTTATGTTTTTTTCCGGCAAAACTGCTCCAAGGCATTTACCCAAAAGTCATGAAAACATGTTTACATTTTTTTCTGTGTGCAAATGTTTATATACAGTGGCTTTATTCATAATTGTGCAGAATGAATTTTTTTATATGTTTTTCAGCTGGTGAGTGGATCCACAAACTGAGGTGTGTCCATGCAGTGAAATTACCACACAGCAACCAAAGAAGTGTGTTACTGATACTCCCAGCACCACAAAGGGGTCTCGAAAGAAGCTAGACTCAAAATCTCTGTAGGGTGCGATTCTGTTTATACAACATTCTAAAAAATGCAAAATTGGTCAGGCACAGTGGCTCATACCTGTAATCCCAGCATTTGGGGAGGCCAAGGTGGGTGGATCACTTGAGGTCAGGAGTTCGAGACCAGCCTGGGAATCATGGTGCTTTTTTTTCTGTACTAAGAATACAAATATTAGCCATGCGTGGTGCGGAGGGCCTGAATCCAGCTGCTTTGGGAGGCTGAGGCACAAGAATCGCCCTTGAACCCAGGAGGCGGAGGTTGCAGCGGAGCTGCGGATCGTGCCAGTGCACTCAGCGCTTGGGGGACAGAGCGAGACGTCGTGTCTCAAAAAAATAAATATTAAATAAATAATTGAAAGTAAAAATTACAGTAACGAAAGCAGACAGGTGAGTGCAGGGCTTGGGTTGGGGAAGCTTGAACATAAAGATGCTGTTGGAGGATAGAAACAGAGTTTGCTGGATGTGGGCTACTGTGGTACGTGCCGTGTGTGCAGTTCTAGCGGTGAGAAATCTCCTGGGCGTAGAGCGAAGCCCCCACCTGTCCCCGCCCGCTTCCCGCGCTGGGTCCATGCAGTGCTGCCTGGAAGTTGGCAAACATTGTTCTTATTTGTGGTTTTCATTTCTTTACCGTATTAGGTGTGTGTAATTAAGAAGATAGATGGTTGTTGTATGTGTCCATTGTTTCCATAAATGGTATGATAGTATGTTTTTGCAACTTGATTTTTTTGTTTTAACATTTTGTTTCATAGTTTTATACTTGTAGATCTGTTTTAACGTTCTGATAGTTTACGTCATGGTTTGATGATTTCTCCCTTACTAGTCAGAATGTGTTTTAGTTTTATTGTTAAAACACACCAGGCTGGCTCGGTGGCTGTCGCCTGTAATCCAAGCACTTTGGGAGGCTGAGGCAAGGAGATTGCTTGAGCCCAGGAGTTCAAGATCAGCCTGGGCAACATGATGAAACCCCCGTCTCTACAAAAAATACAAAAATTAGCCAGGCGTGGTGGTGCATACCTGTGGTCCCAGCAACACAGGAGGCTGAGGTGGGAGGATCACTTGAGCCTAGGAGGTCGAGGCTGTAGTGAGCCTTGATTATGCCACTGCCCTCCAGCCTGGGCAACAGACTAAGACCCTGTCTCAAAAAAAAAAAAACTACGTGTTGCCTCAGTGCAGACCCTAGGCAGCCTCTCGTGGCAGTGAGACTTCCAGGAATGGACCCTTGGAGGACGTGGCACTGCACCTTACTAACCGTTGCTAAACTGTCGCTGAAGCACACATGTCCGTTTACATGCCGGCCTCGGTTTCCGTTTCCCCAGGTCCCTGCCTTCTCTGTCTCCTCACTCTCCTCACTCCCCACCGTTCATTCCTGCCTCGGTTTCCATTTCCCCAGGTCCCCGCCTTCTCTCTCCCCGCTGTTTGTTCCAGCCTCGGTTTCTGTTTTCCCCAGGTCCCTGCCCTCCCCATTGCCTCACTCCTGCTGGCGCCCCCCCCACCCCCCATGCCTGGCCTCTCACCATTTCATTTGCACCTCCTGGATCTCCCTGATTGCTGGTGACGTGGATTGTCCTGTGTGTTTGTTTTGCCCGGCTGGAAACTGCGTGAGCCTCCTCCGTCCATTCTCTGGGGTGGGTCTTCTTTGTGTTTGTGCATCTCGCCTTGGTGTAAGCAGCACATCCCTTTTCCCGAGGACCCTCTAGCTGACCGCGCATCTCAGCCCCCTGATGCCCTTGGCCAAGTAAACAGCACCCCTTCAGAGTAAAACCTGGGGGCCCTGCCTTGTCACCTCCCGCTGGCGCTGAAGGGCTCTCCCCAACACCCTTCCTGAAGAGGCCTCCTCCCCTTAAATGGTGGAGAGCCGGGCCTGCCCTGCCCCCTGCTGCTCCTCTCCTCCTTCCCGGGTGCCACTCCCTTGGACCACCCCCACATTTCCAAGTGGTACAGAAATTACTTTTGCTGCTAACACTGCTCCATCAGAGGAACCTGGGAAGGCTGCATCTCCAGCCTGACTCCTTCCATCCCCGGAGCTCCCCTGCCCTGAGACAGCCTCGGTGCCTCTGCTGTGTCCCGGGAAACCAGCCCGAAGCAAGCACTCACTGTTCCTCAGGAATGTGCTCTGACCCACCTTCTTCACCAGAGGAAGCACCGGGTGGGCTCTCCCTTCTCCGTCACCCCCCACCGCGGCCCCGATACTCTTAGGAGCTGCTTTCCCACACGCTGTGTGTCTCCTGGGATGCCAGACCTCCGTCACCCCTCTCCCGGGTCATAGCAGCCCTTCTGACTGGCGTCCTTGGCACTCTGCCCTCTTCCCTGCTCCAGGGGCGCCTCAGGTGGGGCTCAGCCAACATGGAGCCCTCTGGCCCCATCCTCTGTTTGGGGAACTCATCTCAGTGTGCCCAGCCTCCGCCTCGGGTGCAGGGTGAAATCCACAGTGCCTGGTTGGCACAAGGCTGCCCAGCACCGTGCACCATGGCGCCTGCAGCCACAACTCAAGTTCTGTCTCCGTGAGGCGCTGGGATCTCTTCTGTCCAGAGCACTCTCCACCTGGCATCGCGTTCATCTTCCCAGACGCATCTCTGATGTTAAAAATGCCTGGAGAGTGCTGTGCTGGGCCACAGCTGTGGCATGTGCCAAGTGTGTGCCCAACCCAGGCTCCCACAGGCGGACTGGAGTGCCCGCCCTGGTGCTAAGTTTGGCTTCGTATGGCTACAGACGAAGGGCCTTGGTTTCCCCAAAGGTCACCAAGGGAGAGTGCAGCCCGTGTAGGAAACAGCCCCAGGCACGTGTGCATGGGCACCAAGACCAAGGGAGAGCTCTCGGGAGAGCGCAGCCCCTGTGGGAAACAGACAGCCCCAGGCACGTGTGCACGGCTTGCGCGGAGACCATGGGAGAGCACTGCGGAGACCAAGGGAGAGCGCTGCGGAGACCAAGGGATAGCGCGGCCCCTGTAGGAAACAGACAGCCCCAGGCACGCGTGCACAGTGCTGAGACCAAGGGAGAGCGCGGCCCCTGTAGGAAACAGCCCCAGGCACGCGTGCACGGGCCAGGGCCCCGCAGGGCGCTGTGTTCCTCTTCCACGTTTAGGTCGGCCATGGGGTTGGCGATCTCAGTGCCTTTCCTTGTGTCTCCTATTCCCTGAGGAGAAACTGAGGCCTGGTTCACCCAGATCAGTGTTCACCAGTAACAGGGCTGGGCATGGCGTCTGTTGTTGGCCTCTCAGCCTGGAGGCTGGAAATTTGAGGGGCACCTGGGAGAGGACAGAACAGCATGGACCCTTCCCCTGTTCAGCAGTGGCCAAGCCCCCCCATACCAGTCCCTGTCCCTGCACCAGGGCTGAGGCTGCATGGCCGATCTCCAGGAGCACCCACAGGCACACTCAGACCTGCCTTTCCTCCCAGGCTCCTGTGACTGCCAGGCAGCGTCTCCACCATGTCCCAGCCCCAGACCCCAGAGCAGGCACTGGACACACTGGGGGACTGCCCGCCGGGCAGAAGAGATGAGGACGCTGGGGAGGGGATCCAGTGCTCCCAACGCATGCTCAACTTCAGTGACGCCCTGCTGTCCATCATCGCCACCGTCATGGTCTGTATGGGGCCCCTGCTCAGGCCTGCCCCACCCCAAGCCCCTGGAGGCACTGCCCAGCCCACCTCAGACCTGTCCAGGTCTTGCCAGCAGCCTTGGGTCCCCCATTTCCTTGGGCAGCTTGGGGGGCCCAGCACTGCCTTGGAGTCCCCAGTACTGCCACACCCAGCCCAACCAGCGTCTCTCGCTTCCTTCTGTCTCTCTGCCTCCTCAGATCCTGCCTGTGACCCACACGGAGATCTCCCCGGAACAGGTAACAGGGCAGGCTGTGCTCTGCGTGGTGTGGCCCTGAGAAGACCCAGGGTCCCTGAGGCCCGACCTGGCACAAGGAGCTGACCCTGCACCCCTCGAAGCTTCTGAGGCTTAGGAGGCAGAGGCGGGAGGCGGGGGCCTCCTTAAAAAAGGAGGGGGTCAGCAAGTCCTGCTCAGCCTGTGCCCACCCCGGCAGAGGTCCTGGCTTCCTGGGAGGGCAGGAGACTGGGCTCCTACGGCTCTGTTTCTGAGCTCAGTGGACAAAGGCAGCGCCCTGGAAGTGAGCCAGAGGATAGGTTGGAAGAGGAAGGTTCCGGGCTGCCCCAGCAGGCCCCTTACATAGCTGCTGTGAGTAAACAGGGCTGGTGTTCCACCTCAGGAGGGACACTCCCACCCTGGCTGCTCCTGCAGGCCTGGAGGTGAGCGGGAAGGTTTACAAGCAGAGTTTCCGCTTACAGCCGCCTGGATTGTTTCTGAGCTAAAGAGCAACACAGCATCTTAGAAGGGGAATGACTGGAGGGCATCTGGGGCGCACACCTGCCTGGCTCGGTGTCCTCATGACAGGCTCGTGCGGCCCAAGCCTCATGCGTGCGCGAGGCACAGCAGTGACCACGTAGCCCTTCCTGGGCCAGTACTGAGGTTGGGGCTCCAGTCCTGACTCGTGAGCTGAGCCTGGGGAACGCTGGGAAGTCATGGGAGCTGCTTAGAGTTCGGCTTTCTCAGCCATGTGAAGGGGATGATGAGACTTTTCATAGGGTTTTCACGAGAAGTAGAAACGCAGGTGGAGCCTGGCCCAGTCTGCAGGCACCAGCAGACAGCAAGCAGCACAGGCACTGGGACCCTGGGGCCGCTTCTGCCCTCCCTAGGGGGCAGCGGCTCAGGAAAGCTGCGTCCCCACCGAGGCCCATGGGGTGGACTTGGCCAAATGCAGTCATAAGGTACTGGCCTTGGCTGCCCCCTTCAGAATGGGGTTGCTGAGGTACGGCCACATCCACCTGCAATGCCCATGCCCGAGGGCACATGACAGTGAAGGGCCCGGGCGGTTGAAAATAAACACCCATGAGCCTGAACCTGCTCTGACCTCTCTGCAGCCAGGGCACCTTTCTGGGACTGTGACGTTTACTGCCCTGTTTTTCCTCTGTCGTCCTAACCAGATTACAGGGAGGGTCTGAGCCTCAGAAAGTCCTGGAGAGTCAAAAGTTCATTCAGAGAACACATTTATGGGATGAGGGAAAGGCCTGACGTGTGTCCCGGGGAAGGTGCTAGAAAAGCAGACACCTCCCTCCTTGTAAGGAGACGGGAGCTCCTGGGGCTGTGCTCACTCTGATGAAAAATAAAAGACAGTTGTAACTTTGAAAACCCATGATTCGAAAAGCTAGATGGAACTCAATAAAGAAGTGGCTGAAATACCGAGTTACTGACCCAGAGACCTGCCTGCAAGTGAAGAGCCAAGGGAAACAGTAAAGCGCTCAGCGTTCCGTTTGGAGCATTCGTGGGGAAAGCATGAAAACCTTGTCAGGGCTGGAGGGTGAGGGCCTTGTGTCGAGCGCGGCACGGCCCCCAGTGCCTCCATGCTGACCACAGCCCCCAGGGCGGGCCACCTGTGGGATCCCTTGCAGCTTCCAGAGACCCTTTCCCGTGGCTGCTTTGGAATTCCTACCTAGGCAGTGCCAGGTGTGACCCTTCTGTGCTGTCAACATGTGTATCCCTCTGAAGTCCACATGCCGGACACCGCACAGGGACGGCGTTGTGGGGCAGAACCTTTTGGAGGTGACCCGGTTATGATGGCAGAGCCTCATGGATGACATTTGTGACCTGGTGCTTTTGCCCTCCTGTCCCTTCCCACATGCAGACACCCAGAGGGCACCATCCCCGAGGCGGGGTCCTCAGCAGACACCGAGCCCCTTAAGAGCTGACCCCCCAGCGGGAACACAGCCCATAGAACTCTCTGGAGTGCACCTGTGGGTGTGGGTGTGGATCAGTGCCCCGGAGACGGGGTGGGGGCTGGGGGGTTGGGGTCTGCAGGTGCCAGGGGAGACAGACCAGCTGGAGACGGAGGCTGGACCCAGAACAGGGCACCCAGGGTCTGCTAGGGAGGCCAGGACCTTCCAAGGTGCTTCACGCGGCCCACCTGAGGGTCTCGCCCTGCCCTGGGCCAAGGCCAGCCCCCCTGCCCCCGCCCCCCGCATGGTGCTGTCTCGACGGCCATTCAGGGACACTCATGTCACCTGGGCTCTGACAGCAGTGCTCTTGTATTCCAGCAGTTCGACAGAAGTGTACAGAGGCTTCTGGCAACACGTATCGCAGTCTACCTGATGACCTTTCTCATCGTGACGGTGGCCTGGGCGGCACATACAAGGTGGGAGCTTCCAGTGGGTCCACGGCTGCTCTCAGGGTTCCCATACCCTGCACCACATCATGCACGAGTCCCCAGGGGTGGGGGACAGCAGGTTGCCCCTCCCACCCTCATCCGCATGGGGATGGCATTACTTACCCTAACCCCAGGGCCTGGGACAGTGCGGACGGTGCAGTAGGTAGAGGTGTGGATGGTGTAGACCGTGCAGTAGGCATAGGTGTAGATGGTATGGACGGTGCAGTAGGCGGAGATGTGGATGGTGCAGTATGTAGATGGTGTAGACAGTGCAGTAGGCAGAGGTGTGGACAGTGCAGTAGGCGGAGGTGTGGACGGTGCAGATGGTGCAGTAGGTGGGGGAGGCGGACGGTGCAGTAGGCGGAGGTGCGGACGGTGCACTAGGCGGAGGTGCGGACGGTGCACTAGGCGGAGGTGTGGGTGGTGCAGACGGTGCAGTAGGCAGAGGTGCGGACGGTGCAGTAGGCGGAGGTGTGGACGGTGCAGACGGTGCAGTAGGCGGAGGTGTGGAACTGAGGTGGTAGGCGGAGGTGCGGACGGTGCGGTAGGCGGAGGTGTGGGTGGTGCAGACGGTGCAGTAGGCAGAGGTGCGGACGGTGCGGTAGGCGGAGGTGCGGACTGTGCGGTAGGCGGAGGTGCGGACGGTGCGGTAGGCGGAGGTGTGGGTGGTGCAGACGGTGCAGTAGGCAGAGGTGCGGACGGTGCGGTAGGTAGGCGGAGGTGCGGACGGTGCGGTAGGCGGAGGTGCGGGTGGTGCAGACGGTGCAGTAGGCAGAGGTGCGGACGGTGCGGTAGGCGGAGGTGTAGACGGTAGGTGTAGACGGTGCCGTAGGCGGAGGTGTGGACGGTGCAGTAGGCGGAGGTGTGGACGGTGCAGTAGGTGGAGGTGTGGATGGTTCACTCAGTGCTGCCACTGCTTCTTGGCCACACGGGACCTTCCTCGAGACCAGGCTGCAGCTGGGCAGGAGAGGGCAGATATGATGTGCCCCATTAACACTGGCTGGGGCGGTACACAGCCCTGTCCTCCTGGTTCTGTGCCCTGGGGACTCACCGCACTGCCTTCTTCCTGGCAAGGAGACTGTGTCTGCGGGACACATGCTCCAGGGCTGGAGCTTCACCTTCCAGAGGAAAAGGTTTCTTAAGATCCAAGGAGAGGCCAGGCAAGGTGGCTCACGCCTATAATCCCAGCACTTTAGGAGGCCAAGGCGGGTGGATCACCTGAGGTCAGGAGTTTGAGACCAGCCTGGCCAACATGGTGACACCCCGTCTGTATGAAAAATACGAAAATTATCCGGGTGTGGTGGCACCTGCCTGTAATCCCAGCTACTAAGGAGGCTGAGGTAGGAGAATTGCTCGAACCCAGAAGGTGGAGGCTGCAGAGTGGAGATCGCAGCACTGCACTCCAGCCTAGGTGACAGAACGAGACTCTATCTCAGAAGAAAAAAAAAAGGGATCCAAGGAGAGCAGGGCCCAGTGCTGCCGGGGCCCCTGACCACCTGCCCCAGGCAGAGAGGAGCAGGAGGACACCAGAGGTGGAGCTGGGGCCGCAGGGCGGCGGGTGCTGGGAAGGCATGGGCACCTGCCTTGAAAGCACGGCTGAACGTTTTACATGGCAGACGTGCTTTCAGCAAGGTGACTGTCTCTGGTGGTGACAGATGGTCCTCTTACTTAGGGGAGGGCTTTCTCTTCAGCTCCTTGTTCACAGAGCGCCTGGGAGACCCACAGCCTGACTGTGCCAGGCTCCCCATCAGCTCAGCGGTGTGAACAGGGCCAGGCCCTCCTGCCTGCCCTCGTCCACCCGAGGCCACACCCACTGTGGAATCCATGGGCAGGGCAGGGCGGGGGACTCCCAGAGGCCTGGGGGGTGCTTCACAGATCTGCTCTGTGCATCTGCTAGGGTCACGTAGGCCTGTGTGCAGCGTCCCGACGCTCAGCAGTCACCAGTGCTGCCGTCTCCAGGGAAATGGGGTCCTTTCCTTTCTACTTTTCAGTGAAATGTGCAGCCCCAGAGTGAGCCCCTGTGTCCAGTAGCCTGAGGCCACCCTTGGGCCCCTGATGGGGTCACAGAGCCCCGGGTTGGGGGACTTCGGCTCGGTCAGGCCCAGCCCAGAAAGAGGCCCTAACTTCAGAGTGGATGAGGCACGGAGGTGCGCCTTTCCTGCTTCAGGAGTGGGACCGTGTGGGCTGTGCTCATTTTCCTGGTGACAGACAGTGGTCCATGTTTATTCTGTTTCTTACTGCGTGGGTGTTCTGTAGGCGTTTCCACAGGTATAGTGTATGCAATCCCTGAATAAGCAATGGAAAAACGGGGTTTCCTTTTTTCAGAATGGTTTTTGGTCATGAGGTCTGAGGGTCGCATTCCTCAGGAGGAGGAGCTCTACCTCCACAGAGGGTGTTTCCAGAGGGCTGGGGGCCAGGCCTCTGTGCCTGGGAACAGGCAGCTCACAACCTCCTGAGGACGCCTCTCCAATGGGGCCCCAGAGGCCTCCCCTGACAACTGAGCACCTGAAGATCCTGAAAGAGCTACTGTGTCCCCAGCCCCTCGCCTGCACAATGCAGAGGCAGCAGGCACAGCCCACAAGCTCCGCGGTGGCAGGAGCGGAGGGGGGCAGGGGGACTGCTCCCAAGGTAATGCTGAGAAAGCCGCCAAAGCTACCAGGGCACGCAGTGCTCTCTAACACCAACTGTTGAGAGCAGGCTGTGAATCAGGAGGAAGTGGTGGAGATCGCCTGGACGGGGGCAGGGTGTGAATCAGGAGGAAGTGGCGATCGCCTGCACGGTGGCAGGGTGTGAATCAGGAAGAAGCGGCGGAGATCGCCTGGACAGGGGCAGGGTGTGAATCAGGAAGAAGCGGTGGAGATCGTGTGGACGGGGGCAGGGTGTGAATCAGGAGGAAGTGGTGGTGATCGCCTGGACGGGGGCAGGGTGTGAATCAGGAGGAAGTGGCGAAGATCGCGTGAATGGGGGCAGGCTGTGAATCAGGAGGAAGTGGTGGAGATCGCCTGCACAGCAGCAGGGTGTGAATCAGGAGGAAGTGGCGGGTATCGCCTGGATGGGAGCAGGGTGTGAATCAGGAGGAAGCGGTGGAGATCGCCTGGACAGGGGCAGGGTGTGAATCAGGAAGAAGCGGTGGAGATCGTGTGGACGGGGGCAGGGTGTGAATCAGGAGGAAGTGGTGGAGATCGCCTGCACAGCAGCAGGGTGTGAATCAGGAGGAAGCGGCGGATATCGCCTGGATGGGAGCAGGGTGTGAATCAGGAGGAAGCGGTGGAGATCGCCTGGATGGGGCAGGGTGTGAATCAGGAGGGAAGCGGTGGAGATCACCTGGATGGGGCAGGGTGTGAATCAGGAGGAAGTGGCGGAGATCGCCTGGACGGGGGCATGGTGTGAATCAGGAGGAGGTGGTGGAGATCGCCTGGATGGGGGCAGGGTGTGAATCAGGAGGAAGTGGCGAAGATCCCATGAATGGGGGCAGGGTGTGAATCAGGAGGAAGTGGCGAAGATCCCATGAATGGGGGCAGGGTGTGAATCAGGAGGAAGTGGCGAAGATCCCATGAACGGGGGCAGGGTGTGAATCAGGAGGAAGTGGTGGAGATTGCCTGGACGGGGGCAGGGTGTGAATCAGGAGGAAGTGGCGAAGATCACCTGGACGGGGGCAGGATGTGAATCAGGAGGAAGTGGCGAAGATCACCTGGACGGGGGCAGGGTGTGAATCAGGAGGAAGTGGTGGAGATCACCTGGACGGGGCAGGGTGCTTTCTAGGGAACTTCATTTCCTTCTTCGTGTTTTCCAAACTCTGTACACTAGGTAGTAGCTTATATTTGGTTAAAGTGACATCTCTTAATGATGTTTTAACCAGAAAATGCTGGAGAGAGTGTGTGTGCACTTAATGGTACTGGAACCGCATTTTATTGTCTTTTTGTCTTTTTCTTAAATGGTTTAGGTTGTTCCAAGTTGTTGGGAAAACAGACGACACACTTGCTCTGCTCAACCTGGTGAGTATTTTCCTGTCCTTTTCTGGGGAGTGACTTTGGTTTGTAATCTGGCTCTCAGGGAAGAACGGAAGGAAGCAGCCGGCCTCTCTCGTGACCTCCAGGCCGCCTCGAAGCCTGGAGTCTGCCCACACCTGGGAGCTCCTTGAATGATCTTCCCCTCCCCATGGGTCGCCAGCCTGTATCTCCTCCCAGACAGAGCCAGGGTGTGGGGGACCAGGGGGCACTGGGCTGGGCACAGGTGTGGGGGACAGAGGATGAGTGCCCCCATCTGGCCCTGCAGGGTCTGGGAGCTGGACTCACACTCGCTGGCCCGCCCTTCTTGGGGAGGGCCCAGCCCTGCGCCTTCCCGGAGTGGGCTGTGTCCATCCCCCTGCCCTCCTCCCCAGGCCACATCATGGCCATGATGCCCTCCCTCCCTCCAGGCCTGCATGATGACCATCACCTTCCTGCCTTACACGGTGAGCACCGCCAGGCCCCTGCACCCTAAGGCTTTCCTGGGCACCACTGGATTTGACCTGTCCTCAAAAGCAGACCAGCTGGATGGCTCAGGGCACAGGCCACACAGTTGCAGAGAAGAGAGAAGGTTCTGGGGAGAGCAAATTCTGGGGCGAGAACATTCTGGGGTGAGAACATTCTGGGGCGAGAAGGTTCTGGGGAGAGCCAGCTGTTGGGCTGCCGGGGGCTTCTTTCAGGCTGGAGGGGAGGGGAGGCAGTGGCCCTGATGAGGGACTCACTGGCGCTCCTAGCTCCCACCTGGCCCTGAGTCCACAGCCCCCTGCCCGTCCCAGGCCTGTCCCTGGCATGCAGCCCCTATAGCCTCCGGCCACCCACCCTGTACTGCTCAGGCTGTGAAGGTGCCTCCAAATTCTGGCAGTGGCCGCTGGTCCGAGTGTGCGGGGCTGTGTGCCACAAGGAACTGGGGTCTGCGGAATTCTATATGAATCGGATGACATTTTGGCTTTAAAGGCCTGAGGCATTTGGTGGAGTTGGTTGGGGTGGGGGCAGTTTGGACACATCTCCCCCAGCACCCAGCTGGCCGCATCCTGTGATGGCCCCGTCGCATCTCCCGTGGAGTGGGGAGGCTCGCCGTGGCCCAGTTCCAGGCCCTGGGGCCCTGGAGCCTGGTAACCTAGGATTTGTTGGGGGCGGGGGGGTTGGTTTTGTTTTTATTTTAACAGTTTTCCTTAATGGTGACCTTCCCTGATGTGCCCCTGGGCATCTTCTTGTTCTGTGTGTGTGTGATCACCATCGGGGTCGTGCAGGTAGGGGTCAGGGGGCCCTGCACTGTCTGTGTGTGTGTGTGTGTATGTGTGTGTGAGATTGCCATCAGGGTCGTGCAGGTAGGGGTCAGGGGGGCCTGTGCTCTGTGTGTGTGTGTGTGTATGTGTGTGTGATCACCATCGGGGTCGTGCAGGTAGGGGTCAGGGGGCCCTGCACTGTCTGTGTGTGTGTGTGTGTATGTGTGTGTGAGATCGCCATCAGGGTCGTGCAGGTAGGGGTCAGGGGGGCCTGTGCTCTGTGTGTGTGCGCGCGCGCGTGATCGATCGCTGTTGGATCACACAAGTAGGGTGCCCGGGGCCACCTAGACACATACGATGTGGCATGCCCAGAGCTCCCCTGCTTTCTGACCAGAGACTGGGAAGAGTGGGCCCTGAGACCCCCCACATGCAGCCCCAGGAGCCAGCAGGGGCTCCTGTTCTCTCTCCACCTCAGCCCCTGTGCCCAAAGTGTCCCGGGTACAAGCCCACCTCTACCGGCCAGGTCCTCCCCCACCCCGAGACCCCTGCATGTGTGCGTGCTGTGCAGCCCAGGGGTTGACTGGTGTGGGGGCCCTCTGCTCTCGGGGCTGGCGCCCTGCAGCTTGCTTTTTCCACAGGCACTGATTGTGGGGTACGCATTTCACTTCCCGCACCTGCTGAGCCCGCAGATCCAGTGCTCCGTCCACAGGGCTCGGTACCGACAACACGTCCTGGGCATCGTCCTCCAAGGCCCAGCCCTGTGCTTTGCAGCGGCCATCTTCTCCCTCTTCTTTGTCCCCTTGGTGAGTGCTGGGACAGCCCCCTGGGGCCCGGGCAGGAACGGGGGCCACCGTAGGAGTGATGTCCCCACTGAGCAACAAACATGCGGGTGGGGGCAGAGCCGTAGGCAGGCAGGGGTCCCTCCAAGGGTCTTGTGTGTGAGGCCCAGGGCTGCAGTGAGTGGCACCAGGGAGGGAGGCCTGCTCCATCTGAGGCCCCGAGACCCAGCCTGTCGAGGACAAAGACGGATACTCATCGAAGGAAGGAGCAGCTGAGTGTCCTCAGTGAAGCTTCACAACGACGATGACGAGAAACAGAGACACCCGGAGTCCGGGGATGTCCTCATTTTCTTGTTTTATTTTCTATTTATTGAGGCAAGATCTCGCTTTGTCATCCAGGCTGGAGGGCAGTGGCGTGACCTTGGCTCACCGCGGCCTCAACCTTCCGGGCTCAAGCGATTCTCTCACCTCAGCCTCCCAGGTAGCTGGGACTACAGGTGTGCACCACCACACCTGGATAATTTTGGTATTTTTGGTGGAGACAGGGTCTTGCTATGTTGCCCAGGTTAATCTGGAATGCCTGGACTGAAGTGATCCTCCCACCTTAGCCTCCCAAAGTGCTGGATTACAGTGTGAGCCACCATACTGGCCTTTATTTTCTTTTTTTTCTTGAGACGGAATTTTGCTCCCAGGCTGGAGTGCAGTGGCGCGATCTCGGCTCATTGCAACCTTCGCCTCCCAGGTTCAAGTCATTCTCCTGCCTCAGCCTCCTGAGTAGCTGGGATTACAGGCGCCCGCCACCACACCTGGCTAAGTTTTGTATTTTTAGTAGACACAGGGTTTCACCATGTTGGCCAGGCTGGTTTCGAACTCCTGACCTCGTGATCCACCTGCCTCGGCCTCCCAGGCATCCTCCTTGGGATTACAGGCATGAGCCAGTGCCCAGCCTATTTTCTTTTGGATAAGGAATCTATACAAAACTGTGTCAAGACAGTAAACACCTAACAGTGTTTGGAGGAGGAGCCCCTGGGGATAAGACCAGCATCCGCTCATGGAGACGTCAGCTGTTGGTACTTGGAGAATGTGAGCCACCAGGAAGAGGGAGAAGGCAGCAAAAGAAAGTTCCAGAACCCAGAATGGAGTCTGGGAAAGTAGAGAAAGCAGCGCTGAGAACCCAGCTGTTGGCAGCGGGAGCCAGGTCTGCGGGGCCAGTGCATCTGGGCAGCAGTGCGGGGGCGGGGGCGGGGCCGGCAGAGAGCAGGGCCTCCTAGCAGCCCTCACTCAGGTAAAAGACAACTGGGAGCCTCTTAGCTCAAAGACCGAGGTCTGCTCACTTGGGTTTTTTAAGCCAATGGCTGATTTTAATAGGATAAGACCATCATTCTAGTAACGCCACCATCACCCAGGAACAGAGAGAAACTCCTAAGAGGCAGCCGTTTCAGAGTTGCTTTCAGTAGCAGCTTTTATTTGTGACAGCTGGACCAGCTTGAGCACCTTTGAAGTAAATTGAATTTTTAAACTCAAAGCACCATAAGAATTGTGGAGAAATGAATGGTGGTTATTTTAAATGTTTAGTAAACATTTCAGAAGAATCCCAAGTTTAGAACAAACGGCAGCCAGATGGCAGTGACGCACCTATCGTCCCAGCTACTTGGGAGGCTGACGCAGGGGGACCGCGGGCGCCGGGGAGTTCTGGCTGTAGTTCTCGGCCATGCCAGTCGGATGTCCACACTAAGTTTGGCATCAGTATGGTGATTCTGGGAGCAGAGAACCACTAGGTTGCACAAGGAGTGTGGAGCCAGCCCAGGGTGGAAGTGGAGCAGGTCGAAACTCCCGTACTGATCAATAGAGGGATTGTGTCTGCAAATAGCCACCATACTCCAGCCTGGGCAACACAGCAAGACCTGGTCTCTAAAGAAACAAAACAACACAACAGTGAGGGCCTGGTGCTGCTGCCTCACTCACTAGAGGCCTGGGCAGGCCGTCTCCTCCACCGAGAGGGGCTCGAGCTGGGGAGCTGAGCAGGGCTGGCTCCAGAGTGTCGGAGGCCCACAGGCGGGGCATAGCTAAGCCCAGCGGGAGCACCGGGCCAGAATTGGGGGGTGGCCTGTGAGTCCCAGGGGCTGTGGCTGCTGCACTGCTTGGCTCTTAGACTGGATGCATTTGATGCTTGTGAAACAGGGGAGGAGATGCCAGGGAGATGTGGGGGTCGGGGTATGGGGCAGGCTGGAGGCCAGGGACTTCCTCAGGGAGGGTGGGCCACCCACAGGCACCGGCAGGAGAGGCGGGCGTCCTCAACTGCAGCCTCTGTGAGGTCAGAGCAGGGGAAGGGGCTCTGGGCAGAAGGCAGGGGGGCTGAGCCCTGGGCAGAGGCAGGTGGGTGGGTGGCCAGCACAGTGGGCAAGGGTAAGGGGCAGCAGGTCTGGGGCAGTCCTGGTTTCAGAGGTGGGACAGCCACTTCTGGTAGTGGCCGAGTGACAGGAGACAGGCAGGCTGATGAGGTCAGGACCCAGGCTAGGGGATAGCCATCATGTGGAGGACACAGCCAAGGCACAGCACCCATGGCTGGGATTGGGCAGGGTGGCCATACCTGCCACAGGGCCCAGACGTGGGCCTGGAGGGGCTGAGGGCAGGCAAGTGGCCAGCAAGCCTGAGGGCCTGAGGCTGACCTGGGGCCAGGCCTGGAGGTGAGAAGCACAGGACAGCCCGGCCCAGCTGCCCACGAGCAGGTGCGGTGTTGGGGAGGGTGAGCAGCCTGTGGTGACCGTGCCCTCACCTCCCGCAGCTGGCCCAGGGAAGCCTGGATGGGAGGCGAAAGGGGAACCAGCAGACTCTAGGAAGGAGGGTTCCAGGGGTGGGGCTGGGAGGCCCAAGCTGTCAGCAGTTCCAGGACTCCAGAGGGAGGGGCCAGGCCACGGCAGCCACCTTGCTCTCTGTGGCACTGACAGGGCAACGGTCCATCCTCAGCCTTCGGTGCCGCATCCCGGCTTCATCCTCCACAGCTGCAGGGTCTTCGCAAGGCCCCTCTGCATCTGCTCCTCTATCTCTGCTGGTCCCTCTGCTCGGCCCCCGCACCTTGGGGCTTTCACCCCACACTGGCCTCCTTCTGTCCACACTGTCAGACCTCCGTGGCTGCAGCCCTGCAGCCCTCCACCCTTGCATGTCATTGGGACAGACCCGCAGGTGTCCTTGTGCCCCCCCCCAGCCTCCACCCAGACGCTGGGCTCTGTCCTCCAGGCCCAGCCTCTCACTGCTGTGGGCCATGCCGTCCCCACCTCCCCTGGATGACCTTGGCCACTGAGCCCTCCTATTGTAGCACACACCACATGGGTCCTGGGCTCTGCCCTGGGCCTCTGACATTCGTGCCCTGCATCCTGTAGCAGCAGCTGCCTCCACCTTCCCTCCCGCACTCTGCATGGTCCCCGTCCCCAGGCCCTCCCCAACCCTACACTGCGAGCCCCCAGACCCCCCTGCCTACCCCCAAGATGGGCTACCTCCTCCCTAGTTTCTTTCCCTGCTTTTCCACAGCACTTCCCCCGACCTGCTGACCCCAGGGTGCTGGCTGCCTCCTGCTAGGACGTCCTGCTCACTCCTACCTGGCACCTGGAGGCACTTCCCTTATCGTGTGTTGGTTACTTGAAGCCTGCGAACTGGATCATGAACGTGTCTGGAATTGGCCTTGATGTCTGTGTTGTTCTCACCCTTGTGGTGAACTGGAGGGGTCCATCTTGCCAACTGGGGCCACGTGATGGGGAGGGCGGACAGCATGGCCCAAGCCAGGAGCCGCCTGTGAGGAGTTGTGGAAGTGCCACGCCCAGGGTGGGAGTAAGGCCTGGGGCTGTCGCGCGTGTGTTGGCTGCACTAGCCTGAGCACTTCCGCAGGGCTGAGTGCAAAGACACAGGCCTCTCAGGACCAGGACACTCACATGGTCTGGTCCTCTGTGCTCCCTTTTTAAATTACATTTGGTAAAATACACGTATTTACCATCATAACCATACGAAGTGCTCACTTAAGGGGCACGGAGTGCATTCGCATTGTATGCAGGCACCCCTTCTCTCCTGTTCTGAACCTGTCATCACCTGCAGTGCAAACCCAGCACCCAGGAGCCGTCCCCCCATTCCACATCCCCTGCGCCACCCTAGTCCCTGGGAGCCAGATGCACTTTCTGTGTCTGTGAACTTGTGTGTTCTGGATTCTTCATATGCAGAGACTCACACAGTGTGTGGCCTTTTGGTGTCTGGCTTCTTAAACTTAACATACTGTTGTCAAGATTCACCCATGTTGTCACCCGTGTCAGAACCGCGTTCCATTGTGAGTCTCGTGCCACGTCATGTGGGCCCACTCATCCGTGGACGGGGATCTGGGCAAGTGCACCAGCTGTTGTGAGTGATGCTGCTGTGACCGTTGCTGGACACGTGTAGCTGCCGTGACACCGCTGTGAGCATTGTCGTGAGTGGTGCCACTGTGGGCACTAATGGAGTGATGCCTCTCTGAGCTGGACACGTGTCTCTTCAGATCTGTCTTCTCAGGCTGTTGTTCAGATCTGTCTTCTCAGGCTGTTGGCGCGTGTGCCCAGCAGTGAGTTTCTGGGTCATTTGGTGATTCTCTGCTTAGTTTTTTAAATTTAATTTTTTTTTTTTTTTTTTTTTTTTTTTAGGAAGCAGCTGCAAGGCCGAGGGGAGCGGGAGGGACTGGGAAGGCGATGGCGCTGGGGGGCTGGAGGCGATGGCGGGGGCTGGGAAGGACGAGGCCGGGCTTGGGAGGCGATGGCGGGGGCTGGGAGGCGATGGCGGGGGCTGGGAGGCGATGGCGGGGGCTGGGGGCGATTGGGGGGCTGGCGAGGACGAATGGCGGGGGCTGGGGAGGCGAATGGCGGGGGCTGGGACAGCGATGGGGGGGACTGGGAGCCGATGGCGGGGGCCTGGGAGGCGATGGGGGGGGCTGGAGGCGATGGCGGGGGGCTTGGGAGGCGATGGCGGGGGCTGGGAAGGCGATGGGGGGGCTGCGGAAGGCGATGGGGGGGACTGGGAGGCATGGCGGGGGCTGGGGGAGGCGATTGGCGGGGGCTGGGAGGCCGATGGGCGGGAACTCGCGGGAGGCGATGGCGGGGGGCTTTGGGAGGCGATGGGGGGGAACTGGGAGGCGATGCCGGGGGCTGGGGA